CCCTCGGGAGGATTTTTTTTTATATATCCTCGGAAGGGGCCGATTGTCTTCCCTCCGAGCTTTGTTTGGATTTTTCCCTCGAAGTGTATCGTGCACAAATCCTCTAGAGGGTTAAATATCCTCCAGAGGATTTCAAACCCTCCAGAGGATTATTTTTCCTCAGAGGAATATGGGTGGGTAGCCATTTGTCTACCTGTGCATGGTCAAGCAGCTTAGCTATCTTCGCTTGTGTCGTCAAGCCATCCATCCAACTGAGAAATGCTGTGGCGCTGATCACGCATTTCAACTCGACTTTAAATTTTTTCTGTTGGCAAACTCAGAATTTTCAACAGATCCGTTGCCAGTATTTTTTGCCGCCCCGCTGATTGCTCAACTCGCACAATCAAAAGAAAATACTTTTTGTTACGCGAGACTTGCGGGTACTTTGCACAGCAGTAAGAAAACCTCTTGTTTTTTTTTTTGCAAAAGCATATCGTTGGTGTGGCTTGTGCTGATGCTTGAAGGGCGCGCGCGAGTGCTGTACCCGCCCAACGTGTATCGGCCTTGCTGCAGAAGCATATCGTTGGTGTGGCTTGTGCTGATCCCCGAAGGGCGCGCACGAGTGCTGTACCCGCCCAACGTGTATCGGCTTGGTATCCCTGAGACGTGCACGGTGTTTGCCCCATCGGCCTGGTTATCCTTGAGTGCGTGCACAGCGTTTGCCTTCATCGGTCTGATTAAACCCTGAGTGCGTGCACGGTGTCTGCACAGGGTTGAACACGATTTCTTCGGGAGCTGCCAAGCGGTACCATGTCTAAACGCGACTCAATCGGTAGTTCTCACCTGCACAGGGTCTGAATACGACTCATTCGGTAGTTGCAAGCGGTAGCATGTCTAAACGTGACTTAATCGGTTTTCTCGCATGCACAGGGTCTTAAAAATACCAAAATAATTGCACCACACCTTGACAGTGCCCCACCCGCGATTCGTCCATATTTCTCTGCCGTCTACCTTTCCTGTTGTCTTGCTGCCATTTCCCATCGGCCTGGTTGAGCCCTGAGTGCAACTCGAACGATTTTCTACTTCTCGATGGTTTCGTAACTCAACGTGTCATCGATTTCTATCGGCAGACATCGCGTCGTTGGGATGCCTCCTTGGACACCGAAACCTGGTCAGGTATGTTACGACATCCACCCCAAATTCATCATTCTGAAGCTTTAGCTTCAGTCTCATCTTTCAATATCCGTGAAACTTTTATTCGCATAGCCCACCCCTTGCCCGACCCTCTCTCAAATGCCGATCTTGAGCTACAGTGTAAGTCTCGTGGCGCCTCGAGTATGGTTCGGTGTGGAATCGCAAACCATGAGCCGTCCCCGAGTTTGAGCAGCTTCCGCCTCCTGTGGTCGGCAAGAGTCGACCTTGACTGTTCCTTGCCCTGTTTCGCCATGGGAACGGCCGGTTGAACAGCGAAAGAGGGTACTGCGGGCTGCGCGCCACAATCTTTATTTATTTATTTTTTGCGTTTGTTCTTGAGTGACCATTGTACACATGCGGCTGCTGCTGCGGTTGCTGCTGTTATGCTCGGAATGTGCTGCAATGGTCGTACGGTTATCGTAGTCAGGTTTGACAACAGTCTGCTCGTTCGTATAGCGTTAGTGGTGCGCATCTATTGCGACGGCAAGCGCATTGAGATAATAGTTCGTCCGTCGTGCTTCTAGTCTACACAAATAGATAGTCGTGTTCTTCTTTGTTGCCACTTCATACCAGAAAACAAAGAAAGTCTCCACCAACTTACGGTATCTCCACAGCAGTTCGGAAACGACGACTAGACTATTTTTCTTTTGTCGTATTTGTTGTTGCTGAGCGCACATCGGATGTCGCCGTTCGTTACACGTGTTCAAGCCTGCGGCGGGCCAGAGGGATAAGAGTGGGTGTCTTCTCTAGAGTTCATGCCTTGTCTTCTGGAGTCTCCCTTCCTTTAGTCTACCTCTCTCTCTCTCTGTTGCATTTTTGCCGTCGGGGTTCCAATAACATCGAACGTCAATGGCAATCGTTTTGCATCTTGCTGAGTAGGAGGCTACCCGTGTACCCGGTTGCTGCATGTGAGGCGATGGGCACCGCCTCTTTCCGTCAAACAATGCGCATGGCCCCTACGGTTCGCCGCACATGCAGTGCTGTGTGACAGCTTCCAGCGGTTCAGAGCGGCGACGATGTTTTTCGCCGGTAGGGCCCCAGAACAACGCGAACCGCGACTGATCGCTTTTTTGGGGTCCCCCCACTCACCCAACCCATCCATGAATATGTTTTTTGTGTTTCCCCGCCGACTAACAACCTCGGCTACTGCAGTACAAATTTAATGACGCCTCAAGTACGGTTCCGTAGGGAAGTGCAAATCACGACCCCTCCCCGACTTTAAGTATAGCTATACCCTCTGCGGCGGATAAGACCGACGTCAAACCCAAGATTTTGTCTGTCTGTGTCGCATGTTGCCATCCACGAACAGCAAGCAGTTGGAGAGTCACAATATAGAGGGTCCGCTTCGCCACCAAGAAGACAGTTTTTTCGATTCTTCTACAGCTGGATATGATGCTACCATGTATCGGGTACAGCTGTGGTTGAGCTTGAGGGATGAGGTCTACGGCAGCATAATATTCTGTGCGAGGAGTCAACGCCTTCCTCGCGTAACGATGCGCACCTCCCACGGTAAGCAGAATGAAGTACGTCATCATGACGCTATTTCTTGTGACTACAAGTTCAAGTTCGCCCGGGCGTTATTGTTCTTACCGGAGAGAGAGAGACTAAACTTCTAGTACAATACGTACCAGCCCGTGTACCCGGGTACTGCATGTTGTGAGGTAGTGGGTGCTGCCACTGCTGTTTGCTGCGGTACATGGAAAGCTTCCGGTGGGTCAGAGCGGCAAGGGGGCCTTGTTTCTTCACTTGTTTCTTAGCTCTGCTCTCCTCTACTTCTTCTTTGTTTCCTGTCGCTGGCGGTCTCTCTTTTGTTATCGCCCTTCGTTCTTGCTTGCAAGAAACTGTGAGGATGTAAACATGTCTGGCTGTTCCTTAGGGTCCCCCGCCCACGCACGACCCACCTGTCGGTTTGATTCGTTGTCTCCAATATTTCAGCAGTAGTTAGTTGGACATGCCCTACTGCTAGCTACGTCCGTCCAGGGTGGGTGCAACAGAAGAGCCCCGGGGACTGGTGGCCTTCTGACCTGATCGCAGAGAGAGGTTCCTGCCACTACCACAATACGACTCTTATTAAATGTCTATAACGGGGAACGCGTACTACGTTTTTTTTTTTTCTTTTTTCCCTTTCTCCCGTCCGTTTCTTTCGTTTCGGAGAGGAAACCTACTGTGAAAAGCGCATCTTCCGGGGTCCGCATTCAATAGTCCCGGAATCTTTCCCAGCGTGCGGAGAGCGCGTTCTGGTGTATTCTCCTTTTTATTCGGGTGTGACGTGCGCACTACATGTATGTATGTAAACGACAGAAAATATCAACGAGATGATTGGCGGCATTCTTGAGAAAGCATGGAGTCCCTCGGCACCAAAAAGTGCATGCGCATGGATGGGCGTAGTGAGAAGTGCCGGTCGAAGACTGACGGTTTTTTCGGGTGCGGGCGAGGTCGCCTCTATTATTATTTTGATTTTTTTTCCTATTTGTCCAGTCTATAGCTACTACCTCGCATAGCGTATTGAAGCGAGCGGGGGTTCCTATACTAATCTGTCGTTGACTCGCGGACCCTTCTTAGGGTCAAATTTATTTTCGTGTAAATTTTTTGGGTAAGTTAGCCTGTGACCACGGCGGGGATCGACCGCGTCAAGTACCATAATTGATAATAGTACGGACAGACGAAGAAGGTACTGGGTAGAGAGAGCAGAACGAACGGGATTGTCAATGATTGTGAAGACAACAACAACGGAACTGCTGGGTTCGTCCATGGATAGTTTTTGCAGCACTTATGAATTATTAACGTGTAAAACGACTCCTTCATGGATGGGTATAATGAGAGGTTTCAATTCAACTACCAAATAAATACAAAAAAATACGCAAAACGGTAAGAAAATGGTGAAACCACTCCTCCCGTGTGTCCGCACATACTCCGAAATGTGTCCGCACACATGCATGTATACCCGGTACATACGCGTACCACACTGAAAACACGTTTAAAAATTGAGGAAGATCGCATGCCCTACGACTAAAAGGGTGCCAGGCACAAAACGCCAGACCCAACAGTATCTCACACATTTCTTCTGCACCTTCCCAACATAACATATATGAGACACACAAGACAGCTACCAAACTGTTTTGTTGAGCCTGTTACCCACAGGGGAGATGCCCCTATATGCTGTCTGGGAAATCGTAGACATACAGGTACTTTCTGACGCTCGCTATGAATTCATTGCTAATCTGTCTCAGACTCTTTTCTGAGATGGATTCGTTGTGTCATATTAAAAAAACAAAAAATACTGGAGTATAGAGGGTGCTCCTTGTTCTTATGCATGGCATATACCGGCAGTAGGTGACATAATATATCGCATCATCGATATCCACAGCTAAGAATGTTAGTCAACGACGACGAGGATGTCCTACGATAGGTTTGTTTCGGAAAGCTATCGGTGCCAACGCCACCCGCCCACGCCACGCTTTCTGCTGTGGAGTAATCGACCTTTGAAAACTAAAAACAAACGTTCAGGGGGTGTGGCATCTTATGTCATCTACCCTGTGTACAGAACTCTTTGTTGTGCTCGGTGGGCGAGCGTGTCGCCGTGTGCGCCCTCGACTTCATTAACCGCTAAAAAACTGGAAAGCTTCAGACAGGCAAAGCGATGATACTCGTCGAGTTGCTATCACAATGACCGATCGTTCGTCTCGTTGCCGTACACAGCTTTGAATGTAAACGTATCCAACGGCGCAATTTGTAAACGAATTCGATACCGCGAGGTGGTCTCATCCCCACTGATGTTATTGCCCTTACATCCGAAAGACAAGTTCGACTCGGGTTTGAGAAACAAAATGTTCGTTATCACAACGTCGTTGCAGGGAAAGTGGGCCCGAAAAAACTACAAGCGAAGGCTTTCTCAGCAAAGTCGAAGAGCTTTGGCACTCGTTGCCGCAACGAGTACAGCTTCGACTTTGGCCACGACGACTGGACGCTCTTCGACTGCTTCTGCCACTGCTTCAACGACAGTCGTGCACCCGGCAGCCCGCGCTCCACCGGTAAGAATACAACCGCCTTGTCGTTTGCGTGGGGTGGGCCGTGTGTTGTCATTTTCGCTTTCCCGCCCCCTCTTTTTTTGCGGATGGTGACAGCTGTCCTTTTTTTAAGCATCTTCTGTTTGCCACTTCAAAGTGCGCTTCATTCTCACACGTAACGAAAACAAACCTAATACGCAGTACGGTAGCCTACCGCACACTTCCTTCTCTCTCGTAGCAGGTTGCGCTTTCAGGGCAGCTACGGTTTTGAGCCTTTCGCTTTCCCGCCAATATTTTGTTATTGGCCGCCTCATGGCCTATTTTTTCTCCTGCACGGTGAAGGAAATAAGCTTGAATGCTTCGAAATTAAACCCCGCTTCTACCCGTGTGTATCTCCTTTGTATTGTTATGTCGGCCGCGCGTGTAGGCTGTTGCCTTCATCGGGTCCTGTTGTGTTGAAAGAGAAACATGCGTCCTTGGTCTTGCGAACACGGGATATTATAGCTGCAGCCTGTCAGCTTACTTGATTTTTTTTCTCCGAAAGGCATGAAAAACTTGAAAAAATTTATCCCCCACCCCTCCGCTATTCTGATTTGATACAGGGTTTCGTTGCGGAGATGAACCCGGAAGAGGGAGAAATAAAATTGAATGCTTCAAAATTAAACCCCGCTCCTACCCGTGTGTATCTCTTTTGTAGTGCTATGTCGGCTGTCGCGTGTAGGTTGTTGTCTGCAACGGGTCCTGTTGTGTTAAAAGAGAAACATGCGTCCTTGGTCTTGCGAACGCGGGATATTATAGCTGCAGCCTGTCAGCTTACTTGATTTTTTTTCTCCGAAAGGCATGAATAAAACTTGAAAAAAATTATCCCCCCCCCCCTTCGCCCTTATTCTGATTTGATACAGGGCTTGGTTGCGGGGATGAACCCCGAAGAGGGAACTTCGCTCGAGTCGGCGCCAACATACAACTCGGTAATTAGGTTAAAAATTCCCATAAGGCTGCTTGGTGAATTTCTTGTGCTGATGGTGTTCCGTGTTTCTTCTTCCTTTTTTCAAGCTTGTGTTTGGTCAAGTGTTTACCGTTCCGAGTGCCTATGCCTCGTTGTTCAACGTACGATGAAGCGTAGTTCGTCGGTAAGCGTACTGAATTACCTTGGATGTGCACCTTTGAAATGCTGATAATCTTTTCCTCTTTCCCCATGTGCTGTCAAGGCTGCCCGGGATTTTTTTCCCGTGTACATTCGGCTATCGCCCACCAACCCCGCCCATGCTGCTTCTCTGCCCGCGCAGAATACGACAGAAACTCAAGATGGGAACTTCAATCCTGCCGCCGCTTCCGCCACCGTTAGCTCAAACAACACCTCTGCAGGTGACATACTCCAAAAGCATTGCCATTTGATTTTTCTGAAGCACTGGTCGTCCTTGAAAGCCCAAGTGCAGAATAAAGACCTCGGATATTCGACGTTGTTTCTACAGCTTTGGGCCGCCACAACCGCCGCCCCCAACCCAATTGAGGTACGCACAGGTTCAACTCTTGGGCGCATGTCGTACCAATATCTTCACCAGTCGTTTTGTCTCTCTCTTCTTCGTCTCTCTTTCTCTCTTTCTCTCTGTCTCTCTTTTTCTATCTGTCTCTCTCTCCCTCCGGTAAAAAAAACTCAGGTTTAAAAGGGACCCCAGCCGCCGCTGCCACTCAGGCCCCTGTCGCCGCTGCTGCTGCTACGACTCCCGGTCCCCCCACCTCCACTGAAGGTACGCAAGAGAGTCCCTGGTCTGTGATGTTAATAATTGGAATGGACCAGAGTAGGCTGTGGTGTACAGAGCAGGAACATGACAAACAACCAAAATACGACGTTCATGGCTTGTGAAACTGCCCGCCGTGGCCATATTTTGAAACCTTGCGTGCCACCAGTGCTTGGCCGATTGCAACAACCACATGCGTATTTCGATGATGCAGCAGGAGACCCGTGTCGTAAGTTGCTGTGTGATGACATCCACATCCTTCCAGTGAAAAAAAATCATGCCCCCATTTTCAAACCGCAACTTACACGTGAATTTGCACCAAGAAAGGGCCAAAATCGAACGCACGAATACTCCAGTGTGCATGTTTTTCCTCTTTACAAAATGGACTGCATGTGGGAACGTGAGCAGCATTATGTCGCCGACAACGCCTCCAATCTCTGAAATCGAAGTGACGAAGATTACTGTAGCGTGGTCGACACAGCTGTTTCGTTGCACGCGTGTTTTTGAAACCTGTGTAAAACTCCCCCCCCCTGCGCCCGCTCTGCTCCCCCAGGTCCGTCTGTCATCCCCGCCTCCATCGGCCCGGCCCTTCCCCCCGCCGTTTCCACACCCGCCGCCGGAGCGGCCGCTGCTGCCACCTCCGGCGCCACTACCGCCTCTGACTTTGTCCTGAAGAGCATCGAAATCGACGCAAGGATCAGGCAAATGCAAAAGGAGTACAATGAATTCACGGAAGCTTTGAATGAGGGAATTTCGTACCATGGTGTCGAAGACCCCGTTGAAATACATCGTTCCCGGGAGACCGCGATAAAAATGTGGCTCATGTTCGCCGGGGAGAGGAAGAGACTCTACGAGCAGGAACGCAAGCGGGAACGCATATCGAAAGACAGCACTCGGCAGCCGAAGAAGCGCCGAAAGAAGCACAAGAAGCACGGCGGTGAGGAAGTTGCAGAAAACACTCCTCCCTCTCCTCTTTTTCTTTTTATGATGCCTTTTTAGATGTCTGCCCGAAGTGACATTCCGTCCACAACATACCCGCCAATCTTTCACCATAAGAAAAAAAAATGCCACACAAACGAAAACACTTAGCCCGCTCGTGCGCGTTGTCCTCGCAATCAATGAAAAGCACGGGAACCTGACTCCGGTGGTGGAAGTTATTCTTCGGCTTCTGCTACTGTGGCCACTCGTGGTCCTATCACCCACGCCGCTGCCGCTGCCTGCGCTTCCGCTGCCGCCCCCGCTCCTGCTCCTGCTCCTGCTCCTGCTCCCGCCGCGCCGGATTTTGCCGCTGCTGCTGCTGAACGCCGTTCTGCTCCTGCCTCGGCCCCTGCCCGTTCTCCTGCTCCTGCCGCCGCTCCTCCTACTGCCGCCGCCCCGGCACCCACCCCCACCTTCAAACAAGGTGAGCAGTTAAGGCGCCGGTGTGGATATCGTGTTTTTTGGATTGCCGCCGTAGGGTGTCCTGCTCCTGTTGATGACTGACCCGCGATTTCCGCGCGCACCCTTCCGCTTTTTCGATGCCCTTTAAAATCTAGTTGTGTTGTAAAGAAACCATGAAAATGGTTCGTGCACGAATTTTCGACCATGCAGTTTCGACCCCCTCAATATAAATGCCAATTAGTCGACAACACCTCAGTCCGCTTCTCTCTCTCTCTCTCTCTCTCTCTTTCTCTCTTTCTCTCTCTCGTCATCTTTGTTCCTCCGGTAAAAAACTCAGGTTTGAAAGGGACCCCAGCCGCCGCTGCCACTCAGGCCCCTGTCGCAGCTGCTGCTGCTACGACTCCCGGTCCCCCCACCTCCACTGAAGGTACGCAAGAGAGTCCCTGGTCTGTAATGTTGTGGATAATCTCCGCTGTTCCTGCTAAGTACAAACTTCCTCATAACACTCACATGGCACTACATCCAACCCCGTTTTTCATCTTGTCTCTCTTTTGCGTTTGTTATCCCGCTACTACCGGAGGTGTTACTCCAACTCCTGCCTCTCCTGCTCCTGCTCCTGCTCCTGCCGCATCGGATGCTGCCGGTGCTGCCGGTGCTGCACGACGTTCTGCTCCTGGTTCCGTCCATGCCCCTTCTCCTGCTGCTGCAACCACTCCTTCTCCTGCCGCTGCCCCGGCCGCCACCCCCGCTGCTGCTGCTGCTACCATCCCCGGGCCCCCCACCTCCACCGAAGGTACGCAGGAGATTCCCTGGTCTGTGATGTTATAATTGGAATGGACCAGAGTAGGCTGTGGTGTACAGAGCAGGAACATGACAAACAACCAAAATACGACGTTCATGGCTTGTGAAACTGCCCGCCGTGGCCATATTTTGAAACCTTGCGTGCCACCAGTGCTTGGCCGATTGCAACAACCACATGCGTATTTCGATGATGCAGCAGGAGACCCGTGTCGTAAGTTGCTGTGCGATGACATCCACATCCTTCCAGTGAAAACAAACCATGCCCCCATTTTCAAACCGCAACTTACACGTGAATTTGCACCAAGAAAGGGCCAAAATCGAACGCACGAATACTCCAGTGTGCATGTTTTTCCTCTTTACAAAATGGACTGCATGTGGAAACGTGAGCGGCAATATTTCGCCGACAACGCCTCCAATCTCTGAAATCGAAGTGACGAAGATTACTGTAGCGCGGTCGACACAGCTGTTTCGTTGCACGCGTGTTTTTGAAACCTGTGTAAAACTCCCCCCCCCCCCCCT